CCCCCCCCGAGCGTCCGGGCTGCGTCCGGTCCGCCTCCCGCGGGACTCGGAGCGGGGCCTGGAGACCCGGCGGCGTCCGGGATGCGTACCTGCCACCTTTGGGGGCCGGGACGGAACGCCAGGCTGGGGCCCCCACACTCAGGACCTGCCCTCGTCTAAAGAATAAAGACCTGCTCGTTCCGTTTTTTCTAGCGTCTCAATATAGTCTTGCGGTTTGGTGTCTGTTCTTGGAGGATGGTGCTCTTGTTCCCTGACACGATTCCGTGTGTTCGGTTTTTTACATTGAAAGTTGCAGTGAACCCTGTGAGCGTGGTGAACTATAATTTTGAGTTGTGGGCGTGAAATGAGAAGGCTGAGCTTGGAAAAGGGGGTCATTTTGAGAAAGCAGGTCCCACCAGGCTGCGAGGTCCGGGACGTCTGCGCACAAGCTAGTGGTGTGTGGATGTGTGCGCCTTGTGTTTGTAGATATACATAGGCTAACATACACATATTCGGGTGTTGCGTATGTACATGCCCGTTCATTATTACCTGAATTAAGCTTCAGAAAGCCCTCTGAAGTAACCGTGGGATGCCAGCACATCCAGTCCCTCAGCATCGTGATGGGTGATCCAAGAAATTGTCACCTCCCAGGATGGTAGTCTCTCGAGGACATGTCACCGTGATGGTTTGGTGAACCAAAGCACTTTTCCTCACGGTGTGTTCCTCTGTTCCCAACTGAAACAATCTTCCCTGCTCCCAAGTAAGCAAGAAAATCCCTTTTTTTAGCGAGGAACACTTCAAAAGATGAATCTCCCCTCATTACCACCTCGTTTGAGTTCTGCATGTTCCCAGGTAGCTAAGCAAACAGAAGGACACAGAAGACTCTTAAGATCCCAGTGGGTGAATGTTCCATGAGCAAGATGTCAGGGTTAACTTAAAAGGGGAAAAGCAGCGAGCGAGGTTACACGGCATGCAAAACTGGTTTTCTCCCGGGCTGTGTCCGATGGTGAGTTGTGTCCACGAGCGTTGTCATCAGGACCACTGAGGGCTGGAGTCTGAGCCCTCTGAAGATAGACAGGAGGGGCGCCGAGGGGTCAGGCCCTCGTGTGTGTACATCCAGCCAGCGCCCAAACAAACACAGCCTGCTGCTTTCCTGTTGAGTGTTGCTGAAATGCAGACTTTAAAGTGAGCCGTGAGGGGCGATTTCATCGTATTCCATTTGTAAGTGACAGACGCTGAATGGTTGCCATTTCTTCCTTAGAAGAACAGTGTTTAGTGTTTCGTCCAGCTGTTTTCTCATGAGTAATCGTCAGCTTGTGGATTCTTAATGATCTTAATTTAAGTAGGTACTTTATAACTTTGCAAAGTAGCTACTTTGGATGTTTCTCCCGTTTGTGTTGGATTTGTTCAAAGGACTTAGGAGGGCAGTGTTCCTTTTTGCAAAGTGAGATGCCGCACAGTATTTAATAACAGAAGGCCTTGATACGATTAACGTATTAAATATTCCTTATACGTGAGGCTTGTTTCTTTTTATCTTATCCTATGATTCCATTGTGAGTAGGATGAACTTGACTCCGATAGTAGTATGTTTGTTCTCATAATCACACTTTTGAACAATAAACTGAGTTTTATCTCAAGTATAATTGACACTGTTTTCGCATGATGTACCGTGTTCTCAATTACTTTCTTTTAAATTATTATATCTATTCCTTCTCTTGATTCGTCGTTTCTTTATTCATAATTATACGGACTGTACCGCTGGCCGTGACCGTGTCCACAGCCCTAGGAATTAAAGCCGTATGTTCTGTACGCGACTCAAGTCACAGCTGCCGGCAAGCCAGCATGTGTGAATCACGCTGACAGAAAGTCTGCTTTGTGGAGGGGCCGTAACTTCCTGCCATAACTCTGTGCTGTTCTGAAAGGCCATCTGGCTCAAGGTCATCTCAAGGACACACGGATTTCAAAGCAAAACTGGGACGAAAAGGAAGGGTGGCTCCTAAAAGCCCGGTTGCCTTTTTTCAAGTGGTGACTATAAATCGGTCTCCAGTCTTATGAAACTCTTGATCTTATTACATCAGGGAAAAAGTGACCTTTTGCTCTCCAGAAGGGGCGAGCCCCGCCTGCCCGTGGCGATACCTGCAGTGCCCAGGACAAGGGACGCGCCCCAGCCCTCTCCTCCCGATGCACGGCCTCCTGATGCGTGGTCCTGGCACACGTCCTTGTCACAGAACTGGCAGACATGTTGACCTCGGCCCCACCCTTCCCCCACTTCCCTGTAAGGCTGAGACCCAGGTCCCTCAGGCACTGGGCAATGCCGCCACGGGGCCTGCCAAGAGCCCTGGGCTCTGCTTGACTGACTCAGAGCCGTCGAGGGCGACTCCAGGACCAGCCACGGCCTCCCCCATCAACCCGTGTTGGGCTGCACGAGTTTTTAACTAGGATCCTTCACTCAAAACTCCAAGAGGATGTGAAAATGAACTCTCACAGACCAGGTTCAGTGACGCATGCCTGTAATCCCAGCACTTTGGGAGGCTGAGGTGGGAGGATGACTTGAGCCCAGGAGTTCAAGACCAGCCTGGGCAACATAGCAAGACCTCATCTCTACAAAAAGTACAAAAATGAGCCAAGCGTGGTGGCGCACACCTATAGTCCCAGCTACTCGGGAGGCTGAGGCAGAAAGATCTCTTGAGCTCAGGAGGTCAAGGCTGGGGTGAGCTGTGATCTCGCTACTGTACTCCAGCCTGGGTGACAGAGTGAGACTCAAAAATTAGAAAAAGAAACTCTCTCATGGAGTGGATACGTGAGGCCTCACAGGACCCACAGGAGTGACTTTCTTACTAAAAAAAAATTCGGAAATGTATTTTCTTTAAATTCCCCCAACTCTGGCTGTGAGGATTCAGACCTTTCAGAGAATTTGGTGGTGATGTTTTTTTATACAGGTGATCTAAGAAATCCGTTCTTTAACGACTAACAAAGAACAGAGAGAGATCTAAGACAAACACGCCAACAGTTAACTTTGACCAAGAAACTTCTGCGCTGCTGTTTTCCCAGGGTCCAGGTTTTGCTCTGAGTGTGTCACCCCTGTGACATGGCAAAACTGACAAACGTTTCCCCCCTAAACTGCGCCTTAAATGCTCTTTGTCATGCTGTGGATCTCCCTGAACGGCAGCAACCTTGTTTTTCAGCCTGTGGTCCCCCAGCCAGGCGGGAGGAGGAAGGGGAGGAGTCAGGAATGCTCACCTGCCTGAGGTTGGTGTTTTCATTGAAATGACAAGTCACCAAACAGGTTTTGTGTCTTCACAACAAGGCTTTTTCCCCCTGCTTTAAGGTACGGGGAGCAAGTTCCCACATCCTTTTCTAATCTGCTAGATGGACAAGCCCTGTTTTCAACTCAGAGAAAAGAGAAGACAGGGCTGTGAGCGCCCATGCCCTGGGAAAATCGGGACTCTTGTCACTGAATCTGAAGCGGAGGCGTGGCCGGGAATCGGGCAGGCTGGCCGGCCTCCCCGGGCCTCCGGCTCAGCCCTGTGAGGGAAGCCAGTCCCAGGAGAAGAGGCCCGAGGGCACCCCCCCACACACACACACCATGTTCTTAGCCTCAGAACCCTCAGCCTTTGCGTGACAGCTGAAGTCCCAATGAAAGTTCTCTTGATTCAAAAAAACGTAGTGACTCTGCCCTGGGGATATGCAGGACAACCCAGGAGCTCAGAAGGGGTTTCTTTAGGCTGGTGGGGTTTTTCGGTTTTTGGTTTTTTGGTTTATTTTTGAGTCAGAGCCTCACTCTGTCACCTAGGCTGGAATGAAGTGGCACGATCATGGCTCACCAGGGCCTTGACCTCCCAGGCTCAGACAATCCTTCCACCTCAGCCTCCCAAGTAGCTGGGACTACAGGTGCGTGCCACCACGCCAGGGTAATTTGTGTGTGTGTGTGTGTGTGTGTGTGTGTGTGTGTGTGTGTGCAGAGATTAGGCCTCATTATGTTTCCTACGCTGGTCTTGAACTCCTGAACTCATGCAATCCTCCCACCTTGGCCTCCCAGATGCTAGGATTACAGGCGTGAGCCACTGCACCAGGCCCAGGCTGCCTTCTTATCATGCAACTGTAGAAGCCGGCTGACTCACAACTGTAATTCCAGGGCTTTGGAAGGCCAAGGCCAGAGGATCACTTTAGGCCGGGAGTTTCAGACCCATCTCTACAAAAGATTTTTTAAAAATAGCCGGGCGTGGTGGTGCACACCTGTAGTCCCAGTGACGAGGGGATCTCTTGAGCCCAGTTCAAGGCTGCAGTGAGCTATGATTGCACCACCGCACTCCAGCCTGGGCAGTAGAGAGTCCCGGTCTCAAAAAACAATAAAGTGGAACTTTCTATGTAACGACTAGCTAAAAGGGGAAACATGGACTCCCAGGAATGACCTAAAAGCCTCAAGGGTAATCTAGCATTCACCAACCGGGGGAGGAGAGGCCTAAGTCGCCCTGCGGGGTGGGGGAGGGAGCCCCAACGCCGCCTTCTGCCTCCTGACTCCTTCGCATCCCCAGTTCTTGTCCCACACCGAAGATCTGAGGCAAGGCCTGGTGCAGGCCGGAGAGAGGCTGCCGCCCTCACTGGCCGAGTATCGCTCAGGCTCCTCTGGCTCCTGAGGCTGCTTTAAATCCCTCCACACTGGCTGACC